CAGCAGACCAGGTTAGAAGCCCCTGCCCCAGGCAGGGAAGTCTCGGGGAGCAAAAAGGCTCTGGAGTTCAGGGTTAGCTCAGGACACGCATTTCTGAGCGACTAATCTGCGCAGCAGCACGCCGGTTTAGGGAGTTTTCCAGCAGGATTAGCCACAGGGACAGGCCAGGAGGGGGGACAAAGCTCCTGGAAATTAGGAAAAAACCACAGTGGTATCTCTTATCTGGACCAGAACCCCAGGCCTGGAGCTTTTAAACCCGGGAGACAATGCAGCTATTTCATGGCTGCAGGCTCAGGAATGATGGGCATTTCACTTCCAAGCGGCTCTGGATAATCTCTGGATCTGCAACCGGCCGGCCTGGTGCTGAGCTGAGCACGGTGGGGCTCACACCCAACAGCAGAAACTGGGGACAAATGGGGACCTCGTCACGGCTACCCTGGAAGGCGAGTACCCCCCCTTGGGCCCCTGTCCCCACCAAACCTACCCCGACAGTGCGGCCCCTCGTCAGAGCCGTCGAAGCAGTCACGGAGCCCGTTGCAGAGTTTGCTCATGTGGATGCAGAGCTCGGTGCCCAGGCAGTTGTGCTCGTTGGGCTGGCAGCGGGACACCTTGCTCTGGGGACCTGCAGGACACCAAAGGCACAAGTGTCAGCACAAGGACAGCAACAGGTCCGCAGCCCTTGGCTCTCCCTCAAGTGCCAGCACACTCCTTGTCCCCAGGCCACAGCGTAGGCGGGTGCACGGGGGGCCCCTCCAAACCCAGCACAGGGAGACTTAATCTCCATTATTAACTGGAAAACTTACAAAGGAAGCCAGGCTTTATTTTTAAGCTCCTCTGAAAAGAGGCAAGGCATGGAGACAAACAACAAACACACCATAAATCCATTAACAGACTGAAATCCCAGGAAAAGCTTCTCCAACATCCAGCATGGCTTCAGCCTGGGCTGGAGCATGGCTGCAGGGGGTGACAAACCAACTCTGAGCCCTGGCACAGCCCCTATGAATCCCAACTCCCTCCGCAGGGTCTCATCCCCTTCCTGCCCCAAACCCCCGTTCCGTGTCAGCGCTGAACACGCAGCGTTTTGCTGGAGCCACCAACACGTCTCTGCCCAGCCAAAACGCTCAAATCCCATTTTTTGGGGAGCCAGAGGTTGTTCCTGCCTTGCCCTCCTGTCGCCAGCGGGGACAGTGCCAGAAATAGCTCCACGGCTCCCCACGGGGCCCCTGTCCTTCGCACCGGTGAGCACCGAGAAGGGCAACACACGTCGGGCGCCGTGTCCAGGCACAGTCCCGTTTTAGCCCAGTCACCTTCATCGGAGACTCCGACAGCAGAGTTCGGCCTAAATAAGCTCAAACTCTCCTTGGAGAGGAGCGTTACATCACACAGAGAGCTCTGTGTGCCGGCACATCCTCATCCCACACAGCTCCAGCCAGCTCAGGCTGGATGTCACCACTGAGTGACACTGGATGGGATCCCCACCATGATCCCCGGGCTCCCAGCGGATGCAGCTCCAGCCTACTGGCTTGGCACGGGGGCAATGAGATCCTCCAGGACACTGGATATGGAACTCAGGACACCCAGGCTCTGTCACAGCCATCAGGGAGAGGAGTTTCCCCTCTTTCCCAGCCCCAGGGCACCATGTAGATGATTCCCAGGAGAATTTTTTTTCCAGGTGCTGCTGCACAGGTTAGTTTTCTGCAGAGGGTGGGCACCCAGTAACTGCAACTCAAGGGTTAATTAAGTAGCGTCGATACATGGACCAAAAGAACGAAGGGGCTCAAACGAAGCGCCCGGTCCAGTCAGAACTGCTGTGCCACATCCATTACTCCCTGCAAAGAGCCTGGATCAAACCACTTATCCCAAACAGGGCAGGATTAATCCACAAGCCACTTTGTTTGCTTTTGACTGTGTTGGTGCTAATAAATGAGCCAATTTATTGCATGTGACAAGCTTGTGGTACACCCCAAGGAGCCGAATTAGACAGGAATGTTTAACCTCGAAAAACCACTTGGAAAAAAAAAGGAAGGAAAGAAGAAAAGCAATTCTTCCTCCTGCAGTTGATTTGGCAACAGCCCAGATAGATGCAGACGTGGGGGACACAATGAGGGAAGAAGCCGGAGGAGCGGGAGGTCCCGCTCGTCCTGCCGGAATGGGTACGGATGACAGAACCAGTGGTGAGGGTCCTCTTACTGCCTCCAGGCTCACATCTGAAGCCACACAGCACCATATCACCAGCAGATCCAGCATGGCAAGATAAGAGATCTGAGACCTCCTGAACTCTTAGATCAGTGGGTGGACCAACCAGATCCCAGCCTCAGCAAATTCATTCCTCAAAGCCCTCATCTCCTTTGATTTTCAATAGGATGGAGGCCCTTGTCCAAGTGTTCTCCCCTCAGGAAACTTCCATGGAGCCAAAAAACAACCAACTGGGCAACAACCACGCATGAGCCGCTCGCACCGGCACCAGCACAGCACCAGGCTCGGGAAGGGACCAGCCAACGCTCAGGGAACACATGAGCGAAGCCAGGAAATACTTCAAAGGATTCCCCAGGAAAGAAAAACTGGCACAGAGGTGACAGCATTCCAAGAGACCCCAACATGAGCACATTAGTGCCATGCAAACACCCGGCACCAACGGACACCAGAGCAGCAGGCAGAGCTGCGCTCGCAGTCCAGGCTCAAACACGGATTAAATGAGAGTAATATAAGTCATTCTCTCCCTGCCAAAGAGATAAGG